TAGTTTTTTACTCATTGACCCTTTGGTCACGTTAAAAAACCAAACTGGGTCTGGGATCCCCTGTCTTACCACAGGTCCTCCTTCTTTGATAATCCGAATTTTGCCACTGGTTTCTCTCACCGATTGACTATCCATTGTGGTATGATAAAGCCCTTATTAAATTAGTTGATTTTCAAACAGGGGTACATTTATCTCCTTTAATCAATTGCAGACCCAATATAATGCTCCAAATTGAGAGCTCTACCACTACCTACAAATTTGCCACTTTTTTACATCACAACATGGCCTTTCCCCTTCTTCTCCTATCACATTTTTGAGCGTATCTGCTGTGACCCATCCAGAGGCAGAGGCCTTATATCAGACCTATACCGCTCTTTCTTAGAGACTTACTATGCTGCCTCACCCCCATACAGAACTAAATGGGAAGTAGACTGTAATATACAATTTTCTGCTGAAGACTAGGACACCATGTTGGATAATATACATAAAAGCACTAAATCCCTTGCAGTTTGGGAAACAGCCTTCAAGGTACTTACCCGTTGGTACTCTACCCCTTCTAAACTTCATGCTATCTTCCCTGGAGTCTCAGATCTCTGTTTCCGGGGTTGTAATCTCTTCAATCTCATTGGTACCATCACACATATACTTTGAGAGTGCGCCCATCTTTCCACAGTGTGGAGAAAAATCTCAGAGATTGCCTCAGCATTGGTGGATTCACATGTTGACCTATCTATGCAGACGTGCTTGAATGGCTCCCCCATTCTGGGTGTCTCAGCTCGTAGGACAAGATTGATTCATACTATATGTGTATCTACTCTTTTGGTGATAGCTCTACACTGGAGGTCAGCTGCTGTCCCCTTGTCCTCTGTATTGAGGAGAATTGATATGGTTATGCTTATGGACTGATACATTATACCTTGCAAGATAGGATGCATCTATTTAACTGTAAATGGGATGACTGGAAACGTCATCGTCACATATTGTTGGACTAACATATATTTATTTGTACTCGAATTATCCCACCTTCTGAAGTAATGATATCTAGCCAACTTATTGTGTGCTTCTTTTTAGTTGTTATATACATATATACTGTAAATTTCTCCAATCATTGAATTTCTTTATACCCTTGCTTATAATCACATGATATGTAACTCGATACTTGTTTTTTGCCCAATAGTTTGTAAACAAAAAAAAAAAAACAATTACCCTTCCATGTTGACTCATCTCTCTTAACTAGGTTGTCCTCCCCACCTATTTCCTGGCAGTGCAGGATGACAACAGTTAAAATTACTATCTTGACAAAAATGTTATATCTCTTGAATGATGCTGGTGTTATGGTTATGTGTACCGCAGATCCCCCTACTAAAATTTTGCTGTATGTTTATCAACGTGATGATTATGTTACTCATGGACCAACATTTTTCATCTGAGTACTTATATACTATACCATACCATACCATACTTATATATCATACCAAGTACTTTTGTCATTTTCATTGTTGTTCAGATTTAAGTAATTATTCAATAAAACTTTTGAACAAGGCGAAAACTTCATAGAAGTACAAAAAAAATAGACTCCGACTATGGCAAAAAAAAAATCTCACAACCATTTACTGCTGTATCAATGTACTGTTTAGTTTCTGATGACAGGTTCTAATGCTGACTCTGTGGAAATGCACAGCAATAATATATGCTTCCTATTTTACTTCATAAATAATATAGGCAAAAACATCACATTAATTCTTAACAAATAAATTATGAAATCAATGAGAAAAAAGGTTGGAATCCCTAGGGATTGTAAAAAAAAAAAATCAATGACTTATAGTATACCATGTAAATGACTTTTTCCAGAAATTTCCCATCTTGAAATGTTATGGTTTATTTGCCTATCTGTCTTTAGCAAATTACTTTCAACTCTCTTTAGCCTTTTCTCAATGTTCCAGTAAGTCAGTTTCTGTAACAATTCAAATGACACAGTTGATTTTTTATCCTGTACTAATAAGCTCTAGAGAAAGGTAAACATTTTCTTTCTCTTTGGTCTCTTCCAATCACCAATGCTCAAAGTGCTAGTTGGGGAGGTAACAAACTAAGTTTGCATAAGTCTGTGAAGTTTCATAGGTCTGTAATTTTAACTTTGTTTAAAGTTGTAGATCAGATTTACAGCAGGAAATGGTTAAAACCCCAGTCATTTTTTTGCTATCTGTGTCCATTTACTTCCTGCAAATACAAAAGGAAGTAAGAGGAAATTCCTTCAAAATGATGGAAATCCCCTCTCAGACAACTGTCACTGGAACAAGTGTCCAAAATAGAAGATTTCAAATCAATTTTCTGTTCTGATAACAATTCAAAATTTCCTCCACCTCAAATTGCTACTAAAGGTTATGATTTTTTTTAAATAACAAACATGTTCTACTTACCTTCTCTATGTAATGGTTTTGCACAGAGCAGCCCCGATCCTCCTCTTCTCAAGTCCCCGGCTGGCACTCCTGGCTCTTCCCCCCTGATCAAGCTGCTTGCTCTGAGAGAACTCATGCATGCTTGCTCCCGAGCCGCCTGTGTGTATCTATGAGACACACAGAGCGTGGCTCTGTCCCATTAACAACTCCTGCTTCTGCCTCTCTCTCTCCAGTATGAGAGAGAGAGAGTGGAGAGAACCACTGCTCTCAGGCCCAGTGCTAGATCAAGATTAGGTTCAGGTAAGTATTTGGGGGACTAGGGAGGAGATGCATACAGAAGGTTTGTTGCTTTAATGCATAGAATGCCTTTAGAACCACTTTAAGAGGTTCTAATTGTTCCCTTCTTTATCCACACAAAAACTGGGTTTTAGAAACACTTCAACGTGATATGTTTGGGGGAACAAATACGTACCCTGTCATATCTGGTTCTTTATTTGGCACTGGAGCTTTTTGCAGCCAAACACAATGGGGAGCTTTGCAATTTGATCTATAATACCTTGGTGTTAAGCTGGCCATTCAGCAGGAACCGGCCAAATTTTGATCCATGTATGGCCATTCCTGTTCATGAGAAGTCCATCTGTCAATCAACTTTTCATGAACAGGAATTTTGGAAAATCTCTGCTCGATCAGAGCATACAGCCAATGGGCTACAGTGCTGATACGTATATTTCTGATGGTGGGGGTGCCACTGTTAGAATTCAAAAACAAAGTGGGGAGGATTTCCCCATCCACCTCGAATGTGTGAACGAAAAAACTAAGCAATGTATGGCCAGCTTTAGTCCTCATTTATACAGACATACTTAAGCATACACCCATGTAAGGGCCCCATTTGACTGCATGGAATTCACAGCTGTGCATCTGCATGCAGGCTAATTCATGTCATCTGAACCACATCAGCTGCTATATAGATCTCATTAATACCTCATTAAGAATACTGTGTCTAGTTTTGAAGAACTTACAAAAAGATATTGATAGAACAAGCTCAGTGACAAGTAACAAAAATGGTGAAAGGTATGAGAAATATAACATATGAGGAGAGATTGCACAAACAGAACTACAGCTACAGGGCAGCAGGGTTGAGCAAAATCACGTGTATATACCTGATTTTGTACTTCTAGGTAGGCCCTACCCGCTCAACCAATGGTTGCTACAGCTGTCGATCACCAGGTCCTGGCCAGCACCTGGCGATCGCCGAGTATCACTGACAGGGGAGAGGTCTGTATGTAAACAATACAGACTCTCCCCTGTCAGCTCCAGCATGCTGCTTTGTATTGCTCTACATAGCAGAGCAATACAAAACAGCATGCCTCCCTAGTAAAACACAGCACACAGCACAAAATAAAACACACACAGCACACAGTTAACACTTTGATCACTCTAGATGTTAACGTCTTCCTGCCCAGTGTCATTAGTACAGCGTCAGTGCTTTTTATTAGCACTGATCACTGTATTAGTGCCACTGGGGATGTCAGTGATAGTCAGTTCCCCCCAGTGTTAGAATGCTCGCTGCAGGTTTTCTGTGTTGCTCTTTGATACAAGAGGTTCCTGAAAGGCAGCCCTGTCATAAATTCCAATTTAGTGAAGCCCAAAATATAATTTTTGTTGAGACTGGGTCACAGAAGCTCTGATTCAACTCTGTGGTAATTTTGGAGGCTGTAATTTTATGGTATATATCAACTATCCTATTAAGTGTATGTCGGCAGGTGAGCTATGACTTGTGACCACTACTTCTCTTTGCTGATGAAGTCTATCCATGTTTAATGTATGCTGTCATTTTTAGGCTATTTTTCTTTCCCCCTAAATCATTTAACACTTTTTATTTACTGAACAATCCAGGCGCCAACTATTTGCATCTTTGGAATTTTGTATTTGCCTTATATTGCTTTCAAAATTCATATATTAAACTCATGAAATGTCTGATCAATTCATACTTAGCATATGACAAAAATATGTATATTAATCAGGGGTGTGGAAACTTTTTTTAAAACTACTTGTCCAATTACTAAATGGGGGTCGAAATCTACTTTTCCCTCATGACAATCTACTTGTCCTGATTAAAGAAAATAATAATTTTAACCAAAACCATATTTAAACACAAGCCTACAGGGCACTTATACCCCCTTCCTGCCCAGGCCAATTTCCAGCTTTCAGCACTGTTGCACTCTGAATGACAATTGCGCGGTCATGCAACACTGTACCCATATGACATTTTTATCTTTGTTTTGTGACAGATAGAGCTTTCTTTTGGTGGTATTTAATAACCTCTGGGTTTTTTATTTTTTCTCCTAAACAAACCAAAAACCACTGAAAATTTTGAAAAAAAAATGTTTTTTTCTTAGTTTTTGTTATAAAAATTTTGTAAATAAGTGATTTTTCTCCTTCATTGATGTGTGCTAATGAGGCTGCAGTGATGGGCACTGATAGGCTGAACTGATGGACACTGACATGTGGCACTGATGGACACTGGTAGGTTGCACTGATGGGCATTGACAGGCATCACTGATGGGCACTGAAAGGCAGCACTCATATATGGCATTGACTGGCACTGTTAGGCAGCACTGATAGACAGCACTGATGCACACTGATAGGCGGCACTGATAGGCGGCACTGACTGGCACTGATGGGTGACACTGAAAGGCAGCTCAGATGGGCACTTATCTGTGGCATTGATGTGGCACTGATGGGCACTGAAATGTGGCTCTGATGTGGCACTGATGGGCACTGGCAGGTGGCATGGATGAGCATTGAGACCTGGCACTGATGGACACTGACAGGTGGCGCTACTGGGGCTACACAGATCATCAGGGCACACTGATCATCAGTGCTCTGATGATCTGTGTACATGTCCCCTCCGAGGAATGCCGATTACCGTAAGGAATGCCCTTACATGTGATCAGCTGTGATTGGACACAGCTGATCACATGACTGAGCCGACATCTTCGGAACTTTCCGTGGATCGGTGATCCGCTGTGTCTGAAGGACACAGCGCACCGCCGATCGCCGCGCTGCGCGCTCCGGGAGCCACGTATGCGCGGTTAGAATGGGAGGACGTCATATGGCGTCCTTCCAGAATGAGAGAACCACCTTGCGTCCGTCATATTACTATAAGGCGGGCAGGAGGTGGTTAAATAAGGTCTTATTTGTTATAATACTACTGAATGAGACAGTTTTATCACCAGGGATTTTCAATGGATGTATGTCACTTTAAATCTTGAAATGGCTTTGCCAGGATGAAAAATACAAAGGGTTGAAAAAGACTTTATGGTGACCTAAACTTTTAATATTTTTAACATTGCACTGTTTATATCATACTCACCTCCCTGCCTGTCTCCAGCACCGAACCCTGGGACTAGCAGGAAGGGGAGAGACCTTGCAGTGTGACAAGCACCGATTGGGTGCTCATCAGGAAAGGGTAGTGTGGGTCTCTCTTAATGCCCAGCAGAGGCGCATCTGCTGAGACAGTAAATTACCCTTGCACATGGAAGTACTTGGGTACTCAGTACAAGCACATGCTGAGCAGAGAAATCAAGCTCCGGAGTCCATCAAGGTAGAATCATTTTTTTTGTTCAACCTGCTGGTTGAATGAAAACTATGACTAGTGTATGGACTGCCTTACTGAGCCTACCATAAAGAAGAATTTCATTAATACCAGCAACTGTTGGAACAATGAGCATCTTAGTCAGGTCTATGCACAGTATAATGTAAAGAGTACAGGGGTCAGGAGTAAGTAAAAAACATGGAGTGCAGCAGTCAGGATGAAAACCACGCTCACAGCAGAGTCCCCCCTTGCATCAAAGTCCCCAGCAATTACCTCTATACATTGGAGTGCGCCCTCACATCAAACTGCGACGGAGTGCGCCCTCACATCAAACCGCAGTGGAGTGTGCCCTGACATCGGACCACGGCGGTGTGAGCCCTGACATCAGACTGCGGCAGAGTGAACCCTGACATCGGACTGTGCCAAAGTGCACCCTGACATCGGACTGTGGCGGAGTGCACCCTGACATCAGACTGCGGCAGAGTGAACCCTGACATCGGACCATGCCAGAGTGCGCCCTGACATCGGACTGTGGCGGAGTGCACCCTGACATCAGACTGCGGCAGAGTGAACCCTGACATCAGACTGCGGCAGAGTGAACCCTGACATCGGACCATGCCAGAGTGCGCCCACATCGGACTGTGGCGGAGTGCACCCTGACATCAGACTGCGGCAGAGTGAACCCTGACATCGGACCATGCCAGAGTGCGCCCTGACATCGGACTGTGGCGGAGTGCACCCTGACATCAGACTGCGGCAGAGTGAACCCTGACATCGGACCATGCCAGAGTGTGCCCTGACATCGGACTGTGGCGGAGTGCACCCTGACATCAGACTGCGGCAGAGTGAACCCTGACATGACATCGAACTGTGGTGGCATGCACCCTTACATGACAGTGGACCGCGGTAGAGTGCACCCTGACATCCACAGTTCAGTTGCTAACTGGACATGCAATGGTTAAGTGTGTGAAAGTCCTGGAAGAACAGGAGGAAGAAAGGGAGGGAGATAAGTTCCATTAATGCAGAGATCATTCACTGCAGGCTGCTCTCTGCAGGCTCAGACAGCAGCATTATTAGTACAGCCAGATGGATCTTCAAATTTCCCACCCACACGCACACAAGTCCCCTTCATCAAGCAATCACCGGAGACACAGAAGAGAGGGGCAGGTAGAGCAAAACAATACCTCTCTCCTCTACTCTCCTGTCCATGCAGGGAGGGAGGGAGGGGGGTGCACTTGCTGGACGCGTGTTACACTCAACATGCACAGCTACACCCATTCTACCCATGTTTACCAAAAGCCAGAACTACCTGTCCCGGGCGATAAGATTTGCACATCCCTGTTAACTGAAAACTGTGTGTTGAAATGATCAGTAGATCCAGTTAAACTGATAATGTACATCAAAAATTTCTGCAGAAGTTTAACTTAGGCTTGACTACCTCCTCTCTTTAGGCCATTTAAAATGATGTGAGGCCTCACTGACCTAAAGAGAGGTTTGGCAGGCAAAAGGACCAAAACAAAGGCCAATTTCTAGGAAAACTTGGGGTTTTCATATAACCTCAGATGGTTGTGAATCTACTTATCTATTTGTCAAGCTCTGATTGTGCATTTTTATTGTCGTATGCTCAGTTTGCATTGCCAATGTTTGAAATGTGTTTTTTTAATGGGAACCTATAATAGCTTTCAGCCAATTTTATTTTAATTGCTTTTTAGTTTTTTTTATGTTTTTAAACTACTGTTTTATATCTTCACAGCTCCCTTTGTGTGACTGAAACCCCTACCGAGCCCTCTGATAAGAGATAAGTCACTGCTTTGATGACTCAGTGAGGTACATTTATCATGAAAAATTAGTAGCACAATTAAATGCAAATCAGGATTCCTCCAATTTAGCAAAGTGTATGCAAGTTTTATTGTGTGTTTGCAACTCCTGCACCTGTAATCCTGAGCAGTCAATGGCAACAAATTTGCAAAGTGCTATGATATATTTATCACTGAAGATATGATTTCACCTTAAATAGACACATAGGGCTTTATTTACTAAAGCTGGAGAGTGCAAAATCAGGTGCACTTGTGCATAGAAACCAATCAGCTTCCAGGTTTTATTGCCAAAGTTTAATTGAGCAAGCTGAGGTTAGAATCTGATTGACTACCATGCACAGGTGCACCAGATTCTGATCAAACCAACTTTAGCAAATCTCCCCTATAGTGTACTGTAGTTAAGAAGTGGTCATAGTCAGGTTTTAGGCCTCATGCACACTGGACATTTTTTCAGCTGCTTCTAGGTGCGTTTTTTTTTTTCTTTACCCTGTCTCTAATCGCCCCTGCATGTTAGCCTATATGTCTATGCACACACAGGATTTACAGGAAGGGGAGTTTAGAGGCAAAAAAACAAACAAACACTGCCAGCAAATCCAGAAGCAGTGGCATTTTGGCAGAAAAAAATATTGACGCCTGTAACTGCATGTAAACGTGTGATAACGCTAGGTGCATTTAGTGCTTAATTTATTTTAATGACAAGAATAAATGATTCATCTGGTCAATTAAATGAGTTAATGCCCAAGAGTGTGACGTGCCTAAACGTATTACACACTTTTAGACGCAATAAGCATTTTTTCTGCCCAAACATTCCTGCCAGGAGGAAGACTTCTAGGAGTGTTGGCAAAATGTCCTGATTGCATGAGACCTTATTCTGTTTCAGTGCTTCTTTAGAGCAGAAGAAGAAGGGATATATAAATCAAGCTGGAATCTTGAAGTATATCAGTTAAGCCCCTTCCACACAGGGCCAACTCCCCAAGGAGTCCCCTTGCTCAGCGGGGGATCTGTCCACTGATCCCCCGCTGAGCAGGCAGATGGCTGGTCTGTGTCAAGTTTGCTTATACAGAGTGGACACAGACAAAGCCCGCTCTCCTCTATGGCCAGTTAGATGGAAATGGACAGAACAGACATCTTTTAGGGAGAGGAGGGATAGGCTTCTCTGAAGAGAGGAGTTTTCAGACAAACAGACAGATAGGTAGACAGATTGGTGTAGGGAGTTCCAGGATGGGAGAGGCTCTGGAAAAGTCCTAAAGATGAGCACAGGAGAAGGTGATTAGGGGTTTAGAGAGCAGGAGGTCCTGGGAGGAGCAAAGAGGGTGTGGTTTGGGTGATTGGAAATTAATTTGGGGATGTAATTTAGGGCAGAGTTGTAGATAGCTTTGTAGCTTGTTAATATTTTGAATTTGATTCATTTGGTGAATAGAAGCCAGTGGAGGGATTGGCTGAGAGGAGTAGCAGACACTGTTTGTTAAGATGAATAAGTTTGGCAGCAGTATTAAAGTGTTACTAATCCCACAACAGTGAAATTCTGTATATGCAGTAAAGCATGCTTGTTATACTCACTGTGGAACCTAAGAGGTTAATCCTCCATATTGTATAAAAAGGCTGTTTGATCCTGTCTTCTCTGATCCTCCTCTTCGTCTAATGTCCCCAATCCATATGCTGATAGTACAGAGCTCTACCAGTCACTCTGCACATGATCGGTTTAGTGTGCATGGCTTTTTTTTTTCCTTTGGGAAGGTGCATGTGATCAGCACAGGGACAGTCAGCACTGTCCAGACAGAGGGTCAGGGGATATGCAGCATCATAGGACAGTCACAGCAGAATGAAAACTCCTCCTACAAGCTTTAACCAGTGCTCAGACAGACACTGATATAAGTCACATTACTGTTATATACTGCTGATAAGAAAAAGGTATTTGGCAGTTTATTTTTACTAAAATAATTACATTTCTATATTGTAGGTACTGTGGGAGACCAGATATAGTAAATGCATTGTCATGGGTTTAGTAACGCTTTAACGATAGACTGAGGGAGTATAGCCAGTGAGGAGGGAGTTGCAATAGTTGAGGTGATAGGTAACAAGGAAGTGAATTAGGGTCTTTGTGGTGTCATTGATTAAGAAGGGGTGTATTTTGTAAATGCTATGGGGTGAAGGCGGCAAGATTTGGACAGTGATTGGATGTAGGGCCGAAAGGATGTCAGATTTTAGGATTACGTCTAGCCCCTGGTATAAGGGAAGGAAAGGATAGTTGTGCTATTGATCTAGAAAAGGGGAGAGGGAACATGGGGTAGGGAGTAAGGAAATAATATGAGCTCAGTCAGTTTGGAGATATTGGGTTGAGGAAGTAGTGTGACAGCCATACTGATATGTCAGTTAGTAAATAAATGATGCACAAGGAGAGTGACGGGGTTTGCTGAGAAGAACAGATATAATTTTGGGTGTCATCAGCATACAGATGGTATTGGAAGTCGTGGAAAGTTATCAACTGACCGAAGGGGAAGTTATACATAAATAATAGAAGATAACAATACTAAAACATGTGAAAAGGATTGTAGAGCTTCACTGCTATTTCTAAAACTGATGATAGACAGGGGATTCTGCCACTAGAGAGAAAATGCCAGTGGTG